CATAGATGCGCACAAACGGAAAATTAATGAGAGCGAGCAGTACTGGTGCCTAGTGCGAAATGAAGGTGCTATGAAAAGCCTGCTGTTGATAATTAAATCCTACCACACATTACTCATCCTTCATTTAACAGTCCCGACACCAGGCATCATAATAGGTTTAGGGTCAATATACATATATATATATGCACACACACACACACACATATATATATATATATATATATACTGTGCATGTCTCATACCGTTGCTGGTGGTGTGTACCAGTAGGGGACTGTTGCGCACACTCCTGGGTGATCGTAGACCTTCCCCTGCCACACTTCTCCGTTGCTGGGTGTCCCTGGGACTGCGAGAAAGGCTGTTGCTGAGTGTACGAGTGCGAGAAGGCGTGAGAGCTAAACCCTTAACCCTAAATCATTGAACTACGAAAAACCTGAAAGTCTAACTTAACAGAACTGAACACAGGTACTTACGACTGAACATAACTGAACACAGGTACTTACAACTTAACAGAACTGAACATAGGCACTTACAACTTAACAGAACTGAGCACAGGTACTTACAACTTAACAAAACTGAACACAGGTACTTACATCTGAACGGAACTGAACACAAGTACATACAACAAAGCAGAACTGAGCATGCATGTCTAAACAATCACACACACACATTCATGCATGTTCAAACAAGCACACACACGCACACACTCTTGCATGTCTATACAAGCCCACGCGCATACACACTCATGCATGTCTAAACGACCACACACACACACATATATATATATATATATATATATCCACCCATAAATATCTAGTCACCCACACATACGTTTCTTCGAGATGTGCTACAGTCCCATTCGCTATCAGTGTGACACTCCGGCGCTCTTCCGCGGACGCTGCTGCGCATGAGATGGTTGCTAGGCAACTCTCATCTGCTCTATCGCATCCATTCGGTGACTGAGTCGATAGTTTGTGAACGTCTCGGGGCTCCTTGTGACCGTTCGTTTGGTGCGAAGATATGGGGCGATCTGATTGGTGTAATCCATTGACGCCAGTGGAGATGGTAAGGTCATTGGCGCCATCTGATTGGTTGGGATCGTTGCAGCTGTCTGAAATGGGGCCATTTGATAGGTGCATGCCATTTACGCCATTCGCCTGTCCGAGAGATCTGAAGGCGTCTGATTGGTTGAATTCTGCACTATCAGATTGGGTAGATCTCATAAGGAGATTCGGTGAGAGTGAAGGATTGGAGTTGGGTCTGTGCGCACCCGAGGCGCTGAGGTGATCTGATTGGCTGCTATTTATAGGCTGCCGTCTCCTCATGACATCCGCTCCAGGTGAAAGTACGCGTTCGCTCTGGATGTGCAGCAACTCCTTCTTCAGTGAAACGGCCTTGGTCATACCAGGTGATACTGCCTGCTGGGTTTCGAATATGCCATGCACCTGCGAGTCGTAAACCTTCCCCTTGTCGTTAATTCCGTGCCCCTTTCCCCGGTCTCCACCGTGCCCATTCGTGTCGCAAACTGGCTCGTTGTCGTTAACGCTGCTCGCCTGTGTGTCGTGTTTCACACGGCGACTGACCGCAGACGCACCGTCGGTGGAGTGCACATGTGACGCGACGTGTGGGATGGTGGCTGTGCGTGTGCGTACTTTAGCTTTGCGCTTGTATCGCTTTGTGTTGCCGATCACCCACATGTTCATAAACTGTGTGCGAAAGTAGGTAGGTTCAGGTTGTGTGAGTGGGACACAGGCGTGATATATATGTATATACATACATACCTACATACATACATACATACATACATACATACATACATACATACATACATACATACATACATACATA